AGGTATAGTTACGCATGAAAAAAAAAAAAAAAAAAAAGAAAAGGAAAGCGTAGAAAAACAAAATCGACTCGACGCTGATTGTGAGTCACTTTGTTTTAGCTATCGTGTAATGATTTGCGCGACGATTTTCACGATAATCCATGAAAGAATGCCGAACGAAATCAACATGGAAGGAAAGTATATTGCTTGTTGTTTTTTTTTTTTTTTTTCCTCCATTTTCTCAAACAATCGCGCTTTGTGAAACGCGCCACGTATTTTCTTATCTCCAAACACCGGATACGGATTGATTTTTTCTTTTTTTTTTTTTTTTTTTTTTTTTTTTTTTTTTTTACCATCGCCTAATTATATTGCCAAACGATAAGCGTACGGTTTGTGTTTCGATTGTAAACGCGACACCCACAGACATACCTTATACAACTAAGTTCTCCCCAGTTCTTGTCTTTAATCATAATAATACATAAATAAGTTGTGGCGTGCATGTGTATNTCAAGACATATTTCAGAGTCCCAGCTTTTCTCCAAGTTTTTAAATTTTCTCTCTTGTTTTATTCATTCTTTTTTTTTTTTTTTTTTTTTTTTTTCTCATTCACGCCCCCACTCGGTACTTATCGTGAAAAAACAAATTCATCATCGTTTATTTAAAAAATATGAAAGAAAGAAAAACACACGAGCGTAACAAAGTTTATTTCTCTCCGCCCACGCATCAACCTCTCGTTGCCCGAGGAACATAAAATAAAATTGTACACAGCCGTGTATCCTATACTATATATTAGTCAAATCAAACAAACCATCAGCGTATTTCAAGAGGGTCACTGAACCACACGACCATCAGGCACTCGGGGGTCGACGGAATGACGTTACAGCACAGCTCAGACAGAGACGGCCGCTTATTTTTATATACACGTATAAACACACACGCACACACCCGCGTATATTATATTAAGCTTCTTGCTCGTGTATATAAATATATGTATGTACGTGTGTACACGGGGGCGCGCACACAGTATAAATAAACTTGCACACACATCGCGGGCCCGAAAGGAGGAGAGGAAACACAAAGTCGTGGGGCGGGTGGGTTGGTTAAATATTTGATGAGCGAGGCACCTATATATATATAAAGAAAAATTCGAAGGAGGCGCAAGAAAGAGCGAAACAGCCTCCTGAGCGTCCGTCTTGTGGAAAAGGAGAGAACGAGGAGAAGGAAAAGAAGCAAGGGCCGAGTCATGGAAGCGCGAATCGATTGAACCAACATTAGCGTGGAAAAGAACGCAAAAAAAAAAAAAAAAAAAAAAAAATGTAGATGGAGACGAGAAGAGGGGACAAAAAAAAACTGTATTTCACGAAGCGGTGCGGTATATACCTACGTATATACGTTTGTATATAGTACATGGAGAAAAGGAAGGGCAAACACATTAAACATTTAGAAGGCATAATAACTTGCGGGCCGTATACATGTATGTATATATGTACACACATGCCCTCAACATCCCCCCGAAACCCTCGCCCGTCAGGCGACAAGGGAGGCAAGCACGCGCCTCTGCTGCTCCCGTTCTCTTTCATTCTCTCGTATATTACACAGGTGGTGGGCTATATAGTTACGTGCAACATGTACGTTGGGGTACATACTTGTACTCATATACGTATTACAGTGTCGCGACACAATTGTCTTTCTCTCATCTTCGGCGACACCCGCGGCTATAATACATGACAAACCGTCCCGACATCACAGGCGTTTATAATAAAAAAAAAAAAAAAAAGGAAGCATCCACGTACGGATTCACACAGTCGCGCGTCGAGCCAAATGGAGATACGCTTACAGTCACCATCGGATATGATAATTATTTTGGGTGAACGAATAAAACACCAATTGATGTATTTTTAGAGTTTTCACGAAGAGTAGCCCCGCGCGTCGATGGCCGAGAAAAACGTAAAACACCGGAGTTGGGCCTTTATACATAAATTCTTAATAATCATTCAACCTCGTATGTGCATGGATTTACATTTGCACCTCGCGAGCACATATTATAACACAGGCTTTCGTCCGCTTTGGTCTATACATAATGCACACTAGCTCGTTGCTCGCTAGTCACCCGTCTGTGCCATAAATATAATTTTCTCCCTTATCAACGACGCGTTAATATATATATAAGGGCTAACCCAAACAAATAACCCTTCCTGTGCTGCGTATCGGGGCGAAGGAGAGAAAATAACTCGAAAGGGGGTGGAGGGGGGCGACTTTGACACCGACTACGAGATCCGCATTCGACGAGATGTACACTCGTTTATTTGTAAAAATAAAAAGACTGAATCGAGAGTCGATGCAATATACAATATATACGTAGCAAACACCCGTGCCCCTACACGTTCTACCTACAGTTGACAGAGGGGCAGGGGGGGGGGGTAACTGGATTACGCCGCGAAACAAGCTGTAGCGAGCGTCGTAAAAATACAAACGGCGAGCGGGCGAGGTAAAAAATATTAAAAAGTTTAAGGAGAAAGAAAAACGGACGGGCGGGGGGGGGGGGGGGGGGGGGGGGGAGTAGTGGAGTTGAGAAAAAAGTTGGGCTAAGGAAAAGGGGGGGCTCCATGCCGCTGTACTCCCATTTACTATTGCTACGCTCCGCCGAAAGGGGTAGGGGCGGGCTGGCACGTTGCTTGTACGAGGGAAATTAATATCCGGGGGATTTCTCGTACTTGGAGGGGGAGGGGGGCAGTGTAGCTCTCGTGATACTTAGTATACGTGTATATATACGTGAACGCAGCGTCGCTCGCTCGCGAGGTCGCAAAAACGCGCGCTCGCTTTTATACACGTGTATATGTATATACATGTATACATACACACGGAGCGTAAGCTCGGCTCTGAAAACCGAAGCGAGCGAAAGTTTGGAATTTACTGCCCGACATATTGGCTGCGAAAGCAGCCGAAATTAAGGCTAGTAAAACATTCTTCTGACACGTAGCCGCTCCCACCCCTGCAGTTCCGCCACGGGTAGCCTCTTTACTCGCGCGCATTGCATACAACGGAGCTCGCTTGCCGACGGTCCGACGAGATATACTTGTATTCGATACTGCAATTGCGCGAACGATTATTTAGGACTCTCTAGTTGAAACGCTGATGCCCAAGCGACAAAGGATATGCGTACACATTTTTCAATTAATGCCACCCCCTATATCCACCAACCCGTTTTTTTCTTCCCCCCGACGCGGAGTTTGCACTTTTTACAGAGAGCGACAATGTTTTTAATCCGATCTCTTGTACATCTATACTGATTTTGCTGAGCTGTGCGCAGAAACGAGTACAGTAGTGCGCTTTCACCATTGCCGATTTGGACGAAATGGAGCCAAAATCGTGACTACCGTTTGCACATTTATACATATAGGTAAAGAGGAGGAGGAGCTGGACTTTTTGAAAATCGATCGGATGATTCCTCGAGTTTTCTTTGGCTCGTCTCCTTTTATTCCTCCCTATACAAACATGTACCTGTACCATAATATATATATATCGGGTGTTATTGTATACGTGCGTATAATATAATATGGGTACACGTGCAGTGCGCCCGCGTCTATATGAACGCGAGTGCACAATGGGCTGTATTTTGATTTAATCTCGGCGTGCCCTGGAAAACGATATTACTTTTGTTCTTCTCCCCGGTCGGGCTAGAGACAAAATATTTTTCGCGGCAAATGAAAATAGACGTCTCGTATAACAATGATGTTGAATCTCGTGGAGCAATATTTAAGCAGCCCCGACATGTGTCGGAGAAAAATATGTATGAACTTTTGTACGCGGCTATGATACAGGTGTATTTGTAGGCGATTCGAGCTCTCGAGAGAGTACTGTTTATTACGTAAGCGTGTTTTCTTTGGAAATCGTTTGAAAATATAGAAGAAAGTGACAAGATTGTGTAGGGGAACCCAAAAATTTTTTAATGAAAAGTAAGTACAGGTACATATGCATGTGGATGAAACAGTTTTTTTTTTTCCTTTCAAAAATGTATCTGTACATCGTTGTCGAACTCTAGCCATTCATGCGGGATGATTAATTGCCGTGTTAAATGTACCGATTTAACTAATGGATAAAGAGATAGATTGGTGGATTTACGAAAAAGATCTAAGTAAGCACAAGTAAGTGTGAGCAATTCGAAGTTGTGAAGTAACAAGACATTTGCTTTTAAACTAAACGAAGATTGTACAGTTACGTTATTACAACGAACTTGGGGGCAGGGTCCATGGATATTTTTATGAGTTTCGTAGGAAACACTAATTTATTTTAAATGAACGGAAATTGCAATTTATCGTACATACTATAATTATATTATTTCGTAATGTCAAAAAAAGAATTTTTATTAAAACTGGTTTAAAAAAAAAATTTAATCTCACCCAATTTACTATATTAACGTGCTAATTTATATGTTTTGAAAGTTGATTCACAGGAAAAACAGTATAAAAACAGCATGATATTAAAATAGCAGGCTGAGTCATAGATTTTTTGAGAATTTTATCCGAGTATCGCCAAATTAAAATTTCTTTGAATATAATAAACGCACCCACTTCCAACGCTACATCCTAATTGAAGATTAAAATCTAATTAATTTAAAGCTTTGATCTCAATTTGATGAGAGGAGTAACAAAAAATTTATGAAGAAAATGAAACTTCGAGACAAGAAGTTTGGTGTTAATCATTCAATCCACTTAAAGTTCGTTTGCATGTGGAAAAGATGCAAAAAAAGACTGTAGCATACTTATTACTATTTATTAAAACGTATTTGCCCAAACAAGCTCGTACTTTCGCCATCTCCTGGTTGACAGACGTACTAGAACTTGTGTGATATTCGTCTGCTACAGCAGACTCCCGATCGGCGATCCATCATTACTGATGGTAAGCTCGAGTTTGTAAAAATTTTTGTAACAACCAGTGTTTGCGATTTAAATAATAAAAGTGTACATAAAGTGGTAAAACAAAGTCAAAGACTTACCAAAAAAAGAAGGCAAAAGCTCGTGTGGAAAAGCAACAAACTGCCATCTGCAAAAAAACAAAAAAACGAACGTTAAAGATGAAGTATGTTAGCAACGAACAACCCAAGTAACTTCAAAGTAATAAGAAAAACATTTAATATATTAATGCCTGACCATAAAGAAACAAAATAAATAAACAAATAAACGTGCCGAAACACTTGTTTGTAAACATACCGGTGCACCATACATGTGATCGCGTACACTCCGTGTAAATGTATCCGTTTGTCGCAGTTGATAAAATCACAACAGATTTTCGCTCGGTATATCTCTCGGTAAGTCACTTAGCAGCATCAATAAAGTGACGATGAGAGAGAAAAATACTTACACAAGAGACAGGTTATTTGTTGTGACCACACACGTCAAATCTGCTGCAACAAAACGAACATTGTACGTATATTATACGCCAAGCACACGTAACAGTACAATACAAGTGGGTAATACGTTACGCAGAGAGACACTTGCGCACACAAGATCGTCATGTATACAGAGAGAAGAGCGCCGAAACAACCACTTGTGGATCCATGCAACTGTAATCAATTAGACTGTAAAAGACAACGTGCCATATTATACCCTGGCGAAGGTATGAAAAGTCTCGAGCGTCGCGGCGGTTACTCACATTACTTATTTGTAGAAACTCGACGAACAAGAAAATGAAAAAAAAAAGTCGTTCGGTTGTTGTAAAGGTACTTGTGTGCGTTCACGTTCTTGTCTCTTCTTCTCTCGGAGCTGAGAAAGTGAGAGCTACAGGAAGAACGAGGAGTACGTGTATATATATGTACAGTGGAGCAGACAAAAAAAAGGAAGACCAAAGGCGCCGGACACTCGGCGGCGGTGCAGGCGGTGACGGCGCGACGCCGACGCTCTTTATCCGCAAACAAGGCCCGCGACAGAAGAAACGGGGATCTCGAACTCTCGGGGTTTGCAAGATCGAGTATCACTTTTTCATTCGTCTGGAGTACTTATAACGAGTCTACTTCGCAATCGCTGCTGCTCTTTTCGTCTTTTCACCTGTAAACGGGTAGTCTTCCTGCAGGACAATGCTTCCTTGTTCACCGGTGCAGCGCAGATTTGACGCTTTATTCTTCCGCTGCAGTTTCTTTCTTCACCCGGTCACTGAACGACGCGCGGCGGTACGGATGCCGCCATCTTGCATTGATGAGAATGACTGTAGATGAAAACGGGCCTACACGACAATTTACCTACGGCTGGTAATTGATCGAGCTCGAAAGTGATCAACTGCCGCCATCGCTGTTTACATGTTCGTGATAATTTAACGTGAGTTATCCTTGTTCTCCTTTGACCACGAGAAAGTATACAAATGCTTAATAAAGTGCGATGATCAAAAATGTTTTTTTCAATTGAAAGACGTAATAATAACAAGGTCAGCAAGAGCTTGAAATCATTCATATCGTCCGTGGAGTACTTAAGTCAAGGTATAAAGTGTGAGCCTTTTTGTTTATTTGATTTTCGAGTTATTTAATGTCGTTATTTTTTTCCCATTCCTCGCTCTAGTTCAATTGTAATCGAACAATCAAAATGCACGAGAAAAATCTTGGACGACCTCTGGTTCAGTTACTCCATCATCTATAGGTACGTGGAAATCATCCATGGGGCTCCTCTACTGTAAGTTGTTTATTTAGTTCTCAATATTTTTTAATACTTCAACTCAACTTACTCAACAAGTATAGAACATAACATCTTCTGTAATGGAATCGAATATGTATATATTCCGTATATATTTCCAAGAGCTTGCACGTAAGAGTAACCCGTATCATTTTAAATTTACACCATTTTTTTGTGGTATAGTTTTTACACAGTTAAACATGATTAAATATCCAACTTTGTCATCTTAATGATGAATCTCAGCTTATTGTTATGCGCCACGTTAATAATAATGAAGGCTGGGTAAGGAATTTATAAATTAACATATGAATCACGAGTTACGAATCGGTAACAAAAGTGTTGAAATAGCAAACTGTAACCTTAAAACTGCTTTTGTAGGTACTTAGTGGCGAGTATAAATAAAGGATCATAATGTTCATAAGAAAGGAGCCGAAGAATCGACGAAGCAACAGCGCAGCGATCCTTTATCGATACTCGATCGAGGGCACAAGTAATATTATACAATCGTATCTGCGTGCTCTCATTCAGCCACCGAATTAGTGAAGCAACCAAAGAAAGTTTACCTGGCGTTATCAGCCAATGAGAAATCATAACTTATTTTACAGCTAGCGATTCGCAAATGAGGCATCACTAAACGATATCCCTACTGTTATACTGTAGGTATTGAGAGGCACGTAGCGAGCTTGCGACGAATCGTACGCGAGCGAACGAGCGAGCTGATCGAAGTTGGAGGGACAAGCACGAGGTGAGCGTGCCAGGGCAGCAGCTTCGCCGAGCAGCTCTCCTAGACGTGTAATAGAGAGTCAAACTCTTTTCGCGAGATTCCCAGCCTCGCCTTTTGTCGCTAAGCACTTTTGTCGATCGAATAGAGACGACGAAACATCCGGAGAGCAGAACCCGGCCGGAGCACAACTCGTACATCCGCTGCTTTAGACTCCTCCTCCTCCTTCGTTTCTTCCGCCCTTCCCTTTCACTCGATCTCTCGATAGTGGCAATCGCTGCTGATGCCGTTCACTCTGCGCCAATGCTCTCGAACAGGCGTGCAGGAGTCGCCTCAAATGTTTCAAGACATATTTCAGAGTCCCAGCTTTTCTCCAAGTTTTTAAATTTTCTCTCTTGTTTTATTCATTCTTTTTTTTTTTTTTTTTTTTTTTTTTTTCATCATTGTCTGTAAGTTAACGTGTAGATTGTTTCCCATTCCTACATGGAAAAACGTTGCAAGCTCGTTGTAACATATTATTGTCATTGCACAATATCTTTAAGTACATATACATACATTTTTTTTCATTTTCACCCATGCCATTTGAATCCTTGCTCCAAATTTATACTGATTCCCATCGTAACATGCGATGGTTATACATTAAAACTAATTTCCTCGTACACGAAGGAATATTCAGTCGAGTAAAGAAACGGGGATAAACATATTTGGCTCGATTCTCTGCAACAACAACAAATAATAATATACTTGCACGAGTATACCTATAGGATTGAATTTAGTGTACTTTACATAGCATAGGTGATACTTACTTACAGGTGGATTCATTTGGTGGAAACAAGACAAGTGGGTACAGTGGGGGCATTCGCCGGCATCATCCGGCCACTCGGCGGCGCTCCCCTTTCGCGAGGATCGCAGAAACCGAGCAGAGGTTTCGCGGTACGGATAATGTATACGTATATACATACAAATGGTATAGCCAGCTCTCTCTCTCTCTCTAGAGAATGCTTCTTTTTGTACATGTGTACGTGGTTCGCCAAGTCGCGGGGGCCGCGAAAAAACTGGGCGACCGGTAGCTCTTCGCTCGAGTGTTCTCCTGGTGAGGAGGGTCCCTTGGAACTGGCCTACCCCACGCGGACTCTCGAGCTGCCTCGTGTCATATGCGCTGTACCGTGTACAAGGTATACGTATACATATATATATACATCGATGAGACTCGCGAATCCCGCGAGTGTCGCTTGTATTATGGATGATACGATCCGTGGTTTATGTGTCTTTATGTGTCACACGATAAATGTAATATTTTGCCGAATTGTGGTTTCTGTGCCTGAGGAAATACCGGAATGAAACGGGTTACTTTAATAAACCCAGTGAATATAAAAGGTATCTTCTTAAGTTTTGCTTCATAGGATGCTCATATTTTTCAACGTTTTTTTTTTATGAAAAATTAACAATTTTTAAAATTCACAATTTTTAAAATTCACATGAAATCTTACATGATTACAAAATCGTCAGTAATCCGAGTTTAGCTAAATTAATTTTTTTTTTTTTTTTTTTTTTTCTACCGAAGGTTACACACAAAATTCATGAAAATAAACAAAGATGATGTCAGCATTTATCAGTCCAAATATACAATAACAATCTATAGAGTGCTGTGTACATCACAGGTTTTTTTTTTTTTTCATCGTTGTGATGAAGAAGTATAGGTAAATTTTACTCTTTCTTCTATTTGTATAGACGATACACTATAAATATTATGTACTCGTTGCTTTGCGCAAAAAATTATAGATTGCTTTTTTTACAACACTTAGCCGCACATAACTCATGTATATGAATATATACTTAACGGCTGTGATTGCGTATACTAGACTGCTCAATGCTTTCTTATTGTTCGAGACTGTTTTTCTATACATACATTACCCAAATAACATTAAAAACGATTCATTCATTTTTTCAACTTCAACAAGGGATATAATATATGTGGTACACTGCACGTGTTCACGCGATCCTTTGCTTACGAGATTTAACGTATTTGTAAGAAAGATGAAATAATTACTTTTTTAATTTTACCTCTGGATGATTTGGTGCTTTATTTAAGTAAAGAAACACACGTAAGGCTTACAGTTGAACTTCTAGTCACCAATATAGAGCCATCAGCGGTTTGTTTACAGCTAAGCTTTAGCGAGATCTATCTATTTCATTTATCGAGTGTCAAGTGGACATGATTAAAATAAACGACCGTATTAACGGAGAAAAATTGTTTCTTCTGTCTCAAGTGGGTACAAGAAGTGTGTGTTACTTATATAAATAGGCGACATACTCAAGCTGTCAATAGAGTTGCGATATGCATTACAAATGTAATTTTATTTAACTTTAATAATATCGTAGTAAGAAACTACTTGTTACAAAAATTTGTTAAATATATATATATTTTTTTTTTCCATGTTTCCTTTATAATTTTCGTTAAAACGGTATAACATACAACGAAACACATTGAAACGCACTTTAACATTATTCATATTAAAAATGAGAAAATCTTACGCGCTAGGAAAACTATACTACAATAGTTTCCACTCAATTTTCAAGCGACTTTTATACCATAAGAGTGCAGCGGTGAATAGTACAATGCAAGTGTGTGTGTGTGTGTGGGTGGGTGTGTAACATATTGATGTTGTGGATTATTTTGATTTGTTGTGTAAAGGATGACCGGTAGTGATTACTTTCCAAATATGATCTTTCGAGACGCGCCAAAGTTCTGGCCGGATTGCGTGGCTCCCTTGTTGGAACCGGCTTGCAGGCCGATCACGGTGTCACCGGCCCTCAGCTGCTCCGGGGAAAAGTATCGCTTGTTTTCGTCCGCGGGCTTGGGTCCCAAATACGGGCCCCTCCACTCCGGGTGCTTGTAGGCCTGCAAAAATCACCGTCAGTCGCGCGTACACGTATAGACACGATACTTCCATCCCATTCCCCACATCCCGTGAGGTGAACCTGTATATACATATACGTGTACTTACCGCGCGAGCGATGGCGAATATCGTGTTGGTGACCTGCGAGATGTTCTTGCGCTCCATCAGGTCGACTGCCTGGAAAAGATCGATTTCCGGGACTCCGTATCTGATGCAAGCCCTTTGGAACCTGAAATTGGGAACGGAAGCTTCAGCGAAAGCTTTTTTTTTTTTTTTTCACTCCATCATTGCCTATATATACGGCGATCAGTTGTTTGGTTCAGGGCAGCTTTTTAAATGAAAAAGAAAATAAATAAACGAATAAGGTAAAAAAAGCGCTATTCATTCCACCGCGGCGTGTGTACCGTATGGCTTGCAGGTATCATATACATACGTGGAACACGTATCGCGTTTCTAGCGCCCAAGTCGAAGGCATGAGGCTCTTGACCCGGCGATTCTGTGCTCCGAGTACGTCGAGGGCCAAGGGTTACTTCCAAGGGGTCTTTTCCCCCTTCCCCTGCTTCGCCCGCGCGCGCTAACGAAGGGGAGCCGAGAGCTTCCGCAAATTAAAAGAGGAGCAAAAACAGACGGCCGCGAACAGCTGCGGGAAAGCTCCTGCCGGCGGCTGTTCGCCGGGAGCCCCTACTCGCTTAGCGGAGCCTCTCAGCTGGCGTTAATCAGCGAGGGCTACTAATTAGCGCCAGCGAGTCCGAGCCGCGAGCGAGAAAGAGGATGCGCGTGCTACGTATATATATATTCATCGCTCGGACTCTGGAGCATTGCACGTGTGTACATGGACTTGGCCATCTGTATATTATATGTATGAACATACGTACACCCGCAGGAGCGCCGTCTAGCGGACAGAGTGCAAACCTCTCTATGGGTGATAAACGCGTGAACGGTGAGTCAATTTTGCCTAAAGAGGACACTTGATACGCAATACATTACATGGTTGACTCATTGTAATTACCAAGTATTAGCTATAAAAAAAAAAGCTATGGAGAAACATTGTGGAAGTGGACAAAAAATGTTAAAGTGATCTTAATCGAGCGATTGTAACATATACATTTGGACAGGCAACCTAACGGAGTCGAAAAAATGACTTATAGAACATTTAATATCCAACGAATGACGTACATACACTAATGAGCTTGAAATTGATATGTAGTTAAAATGAAAAATTAAGTAGTAGTAGTAGTAGTAGTAGGGATGTGGGCGGTGCGACTATATAATTACGTTAAATAAGGACGCTTCGAGGCACGTAACTGCACTTACACTTATGTTGAAACGCACGCACGACTTCCTCGTGCCTCATGATTCTCTTGTAGGAAGGGAGTTGTGCGGAGTGGCTGCGCTGCGCATCTTTCGCCCCCACTACCTCTACTGCTCGCGGGGCACGCGTGTATTTCTCAATCTCTCTATACGAACATTTTTTTAAATTTCTTATCGCGAGTTCTGCAACTGTAAAAGTACCTACTTACATATTAATCTATATACTTATTGTACACACCGCAACGGGGAACGAGTGGAACAGCCAAAAATGGTACGATCATGAAAATGAAATTTTATTCAGATCTCGCGGAAATTGTTGATTCCACATCCGAAAGATGATATGGAAAAGCGTGAGAGATGGCCCGACGTTTTTTAACAAGTGGCTGAGTCATATAGTTTCCATACAATCGCGCCCTTATTATAATGGTACGTACGCGACGACAATCACATTTCTCATTTTTTTTTTTTTTTTTTTTTTTTTTTTTTTTTTTATGTAAGGACGCATTTTCATCGTTATTCTTTATTAATATCGTATACATTATTTCATGAACGATTGAGCAATACTTTTGACCATACTGTAGCCGAGAAAGTGCCATTTATAGTTTTGTATGAATTTTCTGCGGAATAGCTCTTTTTTTACCAAAAAATTCACTCTCACGGTTTCCGATACGTTTCATCACGATTTTTACTTTGCAAAATACACGCTGATGAAAATAATCATACACACCCCTGAAAAAACGCCGTATACTCCCAACAACTGTATGGTGTATTTTAGATTTCTAACAAATTATACTGGTGTGCGAGTAGCCATCAGTTGATTTTATACTGCCGTGTGATTATAGTTCAAGTTCAATGTATATCGTTGGTTGGTTCCTGTACTGCGCTCTCTATAACACAATATACCTACAGCTGCAACTACCTAAGCTCTGTCGATCGCGCGAAGGCGACTAGAGATCAGGATGCGATGAATTTGAAAGAGCAGAGACGAGCTACAATATGTAGGTACGTTATTGTGATTATCTTTATATCACATGGAGGGACGAAGCGCGTGTGAAAAATTAGTTTCTACGTTAATTTTTAGAAATCGAGCAGACGGTGAATAAATAATAAGGGTATCATGGCCAAGGGTCCTTGTCGGTGTGTTATCTGTCACTGAAGAACTTTTTTTTTTTATAGTTGTACGCGTGTGCAATGGGTATGAAAAATACGTGATCATCTTACTGATTCAGATTGTCCATCATTTTGTAGTCACCTCCGGTCGTGTTGACTTTCGATACAATGCCGGGGCACAGTCTGTTCATCAGCATGCACAAGATCACGCCGTCCCTCAGGGCATCCTCGTAGCTTATGTCTGAAATCACGTTGATTTTTATACTTTTAATAATAATGATATTAACTAGAGTTTAATATTATGATAAAATGCATCTTTAATTAGAAGAGCCAACCAGAGCTAAATTTAATACAAGTACTACGTTAATCGACCGAAATTTGTTGTAAAGCTAAAATTTTAACATCTACGTTATGGTATTCCTAGGAATATGCAAAATTTATCTAAAACATTTTAAAAAGACGCGTAAGCACATGGTAACTTTACACAACATAACAGCAGGAGAGGTTTAATCTAAGAAAATAAATAATAATCATCGACATTGTAAGGAATAGCAAATCGTACCCTTCATATCCCCCCCTCCCACACATTACATAAACGACGAATAAATGATCGTTTGATTTGTCTTTGAATTCGTAGGTATTTGTCATAAAAGACATTGTCTATGTAGGCGCTTGTATCACAACACACGCCTGCGCGTCCAAGCTTTTTTTGCCACCACCATCCTACATGTGTATATTACCTACGTATACAGTTCGGGACTACTGCAGTCGTCATGTTTCCCGCGAGGTATAAGCTTCACTGCGCATCATTGGCACGTGAGCGCGAGCATCAGTCAACGCGACGCGGGGGGGGGGGGGAGGTTTACATGTATATAGGAAAAAGGGGGGCTTCGCCGAGAGTTACGTGCTCGCTCATGGCGTCCGGCTATGCCAAGAGGCTCGTCAAGGGGGCCGCGTATGGTTGACGCGTGGCCACCGACCGAGTAGGCCTCTTTCCTCGAAGGTTGCCCCTCCGAGCTCCAGTCCGGGAAGATGTACCGTGTCTCGGGCTCCCAGGACGCCAGCTGCGCCCAGGAGCCTACCGCCGGCGTTGCCTACCTTGCAAACATACGTTGATAATCCACGCCCCACCACACCCCACCACACCCCACCCCCAATCCAGACGCGTTACACAGCGCGCGCGCGCGCTTTTCATGCCAATCGAGACCCCGGAAGCTATAAAGCTTGCGAAAGCTCGCCCACCCATGTATAATTGAAACCACGCGAGTCATTTACGAGCATTTGGAAAAACCATTTTTTTGGAGAGGGGGTAGCATAAATAGGCCCTGAAAATACTCGTGTGCCATTTCGGCCATGTAGCCATGGGCATATGGGGCGACGGGGCATCACGCGACACGGCGTATGTAGCCTCCAATGGTTGGTCGCGCCATGGGGAGTAGGTGTATGTGTATATATATATATATATATTCCTAGGTATACATGGGCGTCGGTCCCGCCCGAGTCGGGCTACCCGTGCCAGCTGCGCTATCTGCTTGCCTGATCGAAAACTGGTCGTGCGCCTGGATTCTCGATTGACGAGCCATCGACAGCCGATTGAGTGGCTCATACAGCTCTCTCTTCTCTCTTCGTTCTACCCCCTCTCGAGTTCTAATCGACTATTAATTGACTGCGCCGTAAAGTAGTGCAGGTAAGTGTGTAAGCTCTCTCTCTCTCTCTCTACCTGTGCCAATCGATTACTCGAAGGGAACCGATACATATGGAAGAGAAAGCCCAAAAGTATCCTCCGACATTTCATTGTATATACCTATGTGCGTGACGGCAGAGGTTGACCCGCGAATAAAAATATACTGGTCACACGTATACATGTAGCGAGGACAATCGAGCGGTGAACCAACATATATGTTTATAAATATATACGGATGCAGCTGTGCCATCCCTAGGGACTCCCCCAGTCCCCTCACTTACCAGGATCTCATGTGTGCCGCTGGTAAAACTCACAGCCACGCCCCCCCACGCTTCCACGCAAATCTTTATACCTGTATATAATACACCTACACCGCAACAAACCCTATATTTATACTGTGTCATTATATCCCCTGTCCCTGTACCTATACCACCAGCTATAGGTATATTATACATATACGTTCCTTTATTCATTTTTCGTTCCTGCGTTGCAAGTTGCGTGATAAATTCCTCCATATCGCTACCTAATACGGATTAAAAGCGTTCCTGAGCGCGTTCTGCTCGCCCGGTGTCGGCAGCGACTCCTCCTCCCCTTTGTCCGGCTACCCAGCAAACATAGCCTCGACGCGGTGGGCGTTTCTCCTTCCCACCCCCCTGAACTTTGTCTCTCGGATGGTGATACGTCCCTGGTAGTTTCGGGTCTCCGTGAGATGTCGTAAACGCGAAGAGCTGACAGGAAATCGATGCTCCTCCTTCGGAGACTCCTTCCATCCGTGTAAGGGCCTCCGATCCTCCTGTATACGCCGATGCTTCCTACCGATGCCGAGATACGCTCGAGTGAGTCGAAGAATAATACATGCACCAGATCAGTTATGGTTGTGTGTAAATATACACGAGGGGCCGATCGATTGTTATCGAGAGTCGATAAGGGATGCCACAAAATCCGTCTCTCTTACCCTTGTTTGCTTTCGAACGACCCGATCGATTGCTGCATGCTAGCCGGATATTTTTCAGACGTCGGATGTGTCGCGCTACCGCCTTGTACTACTTGCACGGCTATATGCATGGGACAACGGCTGCATGTTTTTTTTTTTTTTTTTTTCATGATATGTGTGTGCTTATACATGTAGAAGGTTGGCCAAAAGAGAGGGATGCATCGGTCCCGGATGGTTTTGGTACATCATATGGACACGCGTGTACGCATCTACACGGGTATCGATGGAATATCAGTTGTATGGAAACCGCGTCTCGATATGGTTTCCTGCTACGCTGACGTACCGCTGCGACGATGAGCTCCGTCCGAGTGACAAAAAAAAAAAAAAAAAAAAAAAAAACAGAAAAAGTTTTGAGTCAACATTAAGAGCTTTCGCTCGATGAGGAACACTGGCGTTGGTTTGTTTTTTATTTTCCGAGTGAGAGAAACTTACAAAGGGTGTATACGCGCTCGCGGTTGCGTAATTAAATATTTACAGCATTTATTTCTCAAAATGTTGAATTTTTTTTTTCTAATCATCGTATTTAGTGACAAAGTATTAATTTTTGTACGTTCACCGGTACAATAGTTGTATAATGTATGCAACGGCACACCGTCTATGCACTCCATATGCACGTGACTTAATTTATCATTTTATAATATGCTATTAGAAAAAAAAAAAAAAAAAAAAATTCCTAAAACAATATATACCAATCCAGTGTTACCTTACGTATGAATCCAGAAAACGTCGGCATAAGGGTGCACAGTCACGCATACAGTATACGTATATACGTATATCAGCTGTCCGGAGAGTATACACGTGGTACCCGGTAGGTATCGATTAAACGTCAGAGTCGTGTCATAAAGACGTCAAAGGCAAGATTTTCACCAGGACAACATATCCTGCCCTCGAATTTACGAGTCCACGGTCCTCCGGTGCAACAGGTCCCGCGGGAACATGGTATACACCCCACGCTCCGTGCCACCCCCTTTTACCGTGTCCTCCCGGTTCCACTCTCTATGCGCAGAATCGTCCCGAGCTCCGACTGCGAACTTTGGCTCGTATGTTTTCTTTAACAACGATCAAATACGTTAGTCACCGATGGCTGGTCTATCTCTGTGTTTTTTCCCTTGCACCCCTCGTTTCAATAACAACGTCAACCTATTTTGCAAGAGAGAAAAAAAAAACAAAAAAAACAATTTATGTAAGGAACGGAAGGAAAAAAAAACAAAAAACACACACAGCGAGCCAAGGCTACCCTTCGAGTGGCAGCCCGACGTGCTCGGAGAGCGCTGGCGCGGCGAACAGGGTGGCAGCGGTGGCGGCCAACTGTTGCGCGAACTCGTAAATCTAGCCCGGGGCTGTAATCCTGGTAAGCCTGTCCCGAAGTGACGTCATTGACGGACCTCTGACAGGTGGCCGAGGATCCGCCGGCTTATCGATGACGCTTTATCGGTAACCCTTCGTATACGTAGCACGCGAGTACTGGCCAGTCGGCGATTTTGATTGTGCAAAGGACACCCGAGATGCTCGTTACATATGTATATTTATCTGCTATACGTGTGTATATTTTTAACCGGGACGACGAGAATAATTCTTTCACAGGGGGTGGTGGTGGTGGTGCTCGTCGGGAGGAAACGTACATTCATCCACCGGTCTGGTCTTGCTTTCCTAATACAACGGAGCTTCCGTGACGGTGCCTGACGATTCTCGGACTCTTTGGTGGTGCTTGCAAGCTCTCATGACATCTCCTTGACCCTCATTGTTCGGGTGGGTATGCACATACGTGTACCAGTACTACTAGCTGGTGTTGTGCACGGATGCCATATACTAATATTCCACGTGATGGGAGTCATATATGTATAAAAAAAAGCTCTTCCATCCATATTAGCTTTAAGGATGTCATTAAAACGTAACTATTAACAAACACGGCTGACTGACAAAATTGATCGATGTGTGGCGTGTATGTGCAGGCTGTACTTTATTTCCGCAAGCTCGGACAGTTGTCCAACTTTCATCAGGTGCAGGTGTATCGATCCGACGACGATAAGGAAGAGTATGGTAGTGGAGGGACCAGGGGCGTCGGTGTCAAGCTGAATAGCGGCAGTGGTATAACTTCACCCTCCATAAATCCCTCAACTGTCTGCTGGTGCCCTGGTGCGACCGGCTGGCTCGCGGCGTCGTGACAGACAGATGACTGACGTTTGCCAAGTGCCACCCTCCACCACGACCCCCCCCCCCGCCCCCGCCTGTGTACAGGTTCCTTCGATTCATCCGTCTACGTCTCACGTGCAATCGACTCAAAGGCACATTGTACCTTTCGTCGTCCTGCTTGCTTAGAAGCTCTGCCTCGATTTTATCGAAGGGGTTGCTCGGAGCTTGCGATGCCGCGCGGACATGCAGTCCTGGTCCCTCGGCGGCCTCGCGTCGTCGCATGATGAACGAATGACGGCAAATCGATGCCACTCTCCGAAGCGCCCGTATATACCATCCGAGCTGCAGCTCGTGTGCACCTTATTTTCTTTGACCAATGGTTTTTTGCTCACATGCACACGTGATGGTTGTAACTCAGTTGGTCGTGGTGCAGCTTTTAATGCACGGAGGCCGACGAATCGAGTTACAAAGCATGAACACCTCGGGTCGATCATTGGCCGGCTGCAGGTGTGCCCCTTACCGAGAGATCGACCCGCTCGCGAGCTTGCGACTCTCGGCGCCCAGCTCTGCTTTCGCTCTGCTTGCTATTCGGGATCCGTCGCTCGTGCGATGCAGGGTAAGGGGCTACGTAAGGATCGTGCCTGGCATGCGTCGCAAGCTTCCGAGACCAGGCTCGCATGCACGGAGCTTTGTTCCGAAAGCTCGGCCAACCCTTCCCTCCCCTCGCCGAGCTTTCCACGCGTGAGCTTTTCTCGCCGTCGCGTCTGCACACGTGCTCGTGGCATCGAGAAAAGTCCCTTCCGGTGCCTATACTCTCGTCCATCGAAGTTGAGTTTGAAAAACTAACCAGTAACATCAAAAGCCCGGCTTATCCGGCTCGCAGCCTTGTCCGGAGGTTCGGCACTTTGGACGAGCTTGCGACTCTATCCGGGCCTAGACGAGGAGCACCCAAGACGCTTCCTAGTCACGGGAACAGGCTAACAGAAGGGGTCGTGTGCTCGACGACTACCATCCACTCGACCACCCCCACGACGAAGCAAGGGCCAACTACCCTCTCCGGCTCTCTTTCTCCCTGTTGGGCTTTTCCGGCTACGACTTTACCTGTTTTCGTGTCGGTAGACGTATCGGACGAGCAAGAAACCTACACATGTGTTACGATTAGCAGGGGTTTCGGGGATATAATATAGCCACCGGTTGATCGACGGTTCTCGTACATTTGCAAGTGTAGGGCGAGGAGGAATTTTCCGGAGGCAAAGTGTCGGGGGTTGTGCGGTACATGTATAGACGCCTAGGAGGCGCCGGTGCGTCTCTCGACAGGTGCGCCCCCGATCGAGAAAGACCAGGCGCTTACTCGGCGACGAGAGCTTTTCCGCGCTCGCGCAAGCTCCCACCTCCCTCCTCCACCGACGTCGCGATGCTGTCGGAGGTTCACGGCGGGGCACGAAGGGCAAAAGCTGCTCTTGGCGCTTGAACCCTGATGGCCGGCACGTCGCTTTCGGATACGCACGTGCACTCGAATCCGTTGCACCAGATGATCATTGACCGCACTATATTGTGTTTAAACATATATAGAGAGAGATAAGCTCGCGGTTTCGCAAGGGTAGCTTCCCAAGTCGGCCAAAGTGCAGGCTGCGTCGACGCCAGGCGTGTTTGCCGGACCAGGGCTGCATGATCGGCTCACGACTGCCACTGGGGGGTGGTTGTCGGAGGCACGGCCGGGCTGGCGTAGCTATAGGGGCTAGGGGGGGGGGTGGGGCGGTCGTGGCTGCCGAAGTAACCGAGCGCGCCTTTTGCCAGGCGAGCAAGACTCGCTCTCGTGTCTCCTTACTCCCGACCAAAGTCATCTTGGGCCGCTCCACCCCATTGGCTCGTTGGCTTAACTGTTGCACGGCAGATGGTTGCCGATTGGGGGAGAATGTCGCTTCCGACGTCACCTGGCCCGACGCCGACACCCGGCTAGCATGCGCGCCGTGAAAGCTCCTCTCGATAGGGTTTCCCTGCCCGAATCCCCCGACCTGGTTGTACACATACACGCGCCACTGGGCGTCTCGAGTTCGTGTACTTTATTAATAGCTACTGTGCGTGAGGAGGGTGGGGCAGAGAGGTCGGGAAACGCTTGCGGACGTGCACCCTCGACGACTAACAGGGTTTCATATGTACAGAGTCGTGTGAGGTCGCGACAGAGCTTTTCCTTTCCCCGCCACTTTTTGTGATTCAGCGTGACTATTTGATTTTTATTTCGATGTACATATATAACCGTACGTTTTGTCGCTATGATCGTATAATAATGTATTACAGCAAAAGTTAAAACTTGCAACCCTTGGCTGTCCCGGTCTAACAGGGTTACATAATTACGTACAGGTTGTGTAGCGTGACTCGAAGGGGCGAGGGTCGATAAATGTATGTATATATGTTGTACATACGGTACATCAGGGGAGGCATCAGCAGATATATATATGTATACGGGGAAAGGCTTTGTGGCGCAACTTTTAAAACAATTGACAAATGGCTCGACTGTGGACAATTTTTTTTACATCATCATTATTTTATTTATTATTGTGTGTACGAGTATAGCAATTGACTCACCCTTTGGAAATTTAAATCCAATGACTTGTTCGATCCAAAGTTGAGCTTCGGCCTCCTGGTCTGGATCGCGTTTTCCAGCAACCTGAAAAGTTGAGGTTTGATTTGGGTATAAGCATAGGCTTTGGCTCGTTGATTTATTTTAAAACGATGTTTTTCTCAAAGTTAGTTTTAACGTTGCATTTAATATTAGAAACAGTCGCACGTGTATATTTAACGTCTAATTTGTCATAACTACTTGTTTACTAGAAAAACGGCTGCGACATTAACAACAAGTTAAAAAATAACACCTCCAATGCCGCGGTTCCGTCTTCTTAAAAATACTTTTGATGTCAACGATACGTTATAAGAATTGTCGATAAAAAGTTTACAATTGAATTATACAATATTGTACATTTTTGGGTCTTGCGCGTTGATGTAATGTTAAAACGGTGTAATTGACTCATTGTTTGGTCCTAAACATTTCATGTTCCCTGGATGCATAAATACCTTGCATGACGTAAAAAAGCCAGTAAACTGATAAAAAAATTTTTCTATTGTCAGAAATCACCACCTTGAAAATAACTTTTAATTTTAACTTAATGACTCGCTCTGTATCTAATCTTATTAGATCACGGACTTTCCACTTTTACCTAAATAATGGGAATGTCTCATTAAGATTTAATGACCGTTTGATTAGCTTTTTATCACCTTTAACTGATAGCAGTTATAATAAATGAGGCAATCGTGTCAGAAGTTTTTCGGAAGGTACATATGTGCACAGTATACTTATACGCTGCTGAATCAGCATTTTATCTTTGTTGTAACTTGACAGTTTCCGTAGAAACTTTCAAAAATTGCCTTAGCCGATGGTATTTCACATCGTCTTGGCGGGGTATTGGTTAAAGTTTTCAACTAGCAATAATCGCACCTCGGTAGAACCTCATTGGTTACGATATCGCCACTGCGCAAAGCTAACTTGCCGGTGTGATGGGATCGAATAAATAGACGCGTTCCTCCATTCTTTCTGCGTGTAAGGAAATTTCGTATTCCACGTAGCGGACGACGAGTTAACTATAGTGCCCGCCAACTTCAAATTTGTATGCTCGGTTTTTCTTCAACTTCGTACAAATTGGAAAACAATTTTTTTTTCTTTTTTTTTCAACTACTAGTTGAAACTCTACCGAGTTATAGCATATTCTCTCGATCATCACTAAGAAAAGAAAAATTAGTAAAGGAAATCCCAAGAAACATTAAAAGAAAAAAACCAAAAAAAAACTGATCTCTGGCTAGTAAAAGCGAGCTTGGAAGCGATAAATTTGGAAACCCGTTGATTGACGAAAAATCTAAAACGGGTGGTGGCATCATACGTAAAAATGGCTGGCATCCAAAAATTACGATGCCACGAATGAACGGCACAGGCAAATCGGCGTATCGGTAGCTTTCATCTGGCGGATTTCCACTGCTATATATATTTCTTGTCCCCTATTAATCCTTTTTTTTTTTTTTTAACATGTATAATACACGTGCAATAAGGAAATATACAGGTGATGGGTGTACACCCACTTGTTTATATCCCAGTGCTCCGATGTGTGTGTGTTCAAATATACCGTCCACGTCCACGGGCACAATGACGTCCGTTCACCCGTTAATGTCTTCGCTAACCTTCTATCTTCGCGCGATATACAACTAAAGACTTTTTCGCGAAAAATATAATATTCTTTGGCAACGTTGCGGGCAACGAATAGCCAATTAAATTTTCACGAGTATCGCCGTCGCGTCATTTTATGCGTGTTTTGTGTTAATTATCAAACTAACGTCTAAACGGGGGTACAGATTTAGAGATGATTCGCCGATTTTTTTCCTTCTACTCTCGACGCAAGTAATTTTATTTTAATTTCTCATTTCTCTAATAGCACCCCAATTTTCCACAAAGAGACCGATGATAAGCTACTCGAGTGAATACTTGTACCCTGCACTTTTTTCTCAAGAGCCGTAAAACACCAAATGCAGTCTCATTTACACCCGTGAATATTGCTAAGAAAAAAAAAAAAAAAAACAAATAAATAAATGAAAAAAGTCACAGGTGACTAGGTAAAAAAGCAAGGGAAACACGTAAGGGACAAAGAGAGGGAGCGCAGAGAGTGCGGGAGGTGTGGGAACCCAAGTATATGTGTACACATAGGTACGAGACGGGCAAAGTGCCAAGGAGATTCTGGTAGTTGAAGATCAGTAGAACCGAGGAGGAGAAAAGGAGGGGGCGAACGGCATATAGCGTCGCGACGCCCGGCATTCGACTTAGTCGTCACTCTGACCGGCAAGTACTTACCATACAGTTTCTCAATCCGATCGAGCTTTGCCGACACACGGGATCCTTGCAGCGTACACAACTCGCGGAAACTTTGTCAAGCTAATCGCGATGCCGGTAAGTATATGCATATACCCATTGAATTTTTCTTATTTTACAAATTTCTTCTTTTACAAATTTGAACGACAAAAAGTGTTACAAACTACTACTTTCGACGCAACGAAACGGTAGTTACTGCCTTTGTTATCGACAACTTCCTTTGATCGCTTCGTCGACACGGCTATCGGTAGTGCGATGATTTTGTTTCGAGCAAGTATTTACTGAAAATATCATCATCGGTAAAACTTTAGAGTCTAGAGCCGAATATACAATATATATATCCGTGAATCTGGAGAATGCTATTTCGGTGAGCCTCCCTTCCTACACGCGACCGGAAGTCTCTTGTACTTTCCTTTGGGTAATCTAATAGCCTTGAACGGGCTTGCGGTAAATTAGATTATGATACGCTTGAGAAAAAATAAATTGATTCATGATTGCCGTCAAATTTTTTTAAACGTTTGAATGAACTGTTAGTTAAGTTGTTTCGTAGTAGGTACTGCACAAGAGTCGTAAGATACCAAACGCCTATATATTAATTTATTTATATGTGTACTTTTTTTTTTTTTGTTACTAAGAATTTCGTAAAAATTGGCCCATGTGGTACAATGCAGAAAGTAAGCGTTACGCTGAAAATAATCCCGCGAGAATAAAATCAAACTGGCGGGCTCGCGGATTATATTTGCGAGGCGTGTAACGCGTCAGTTCGAGAGTAGCGTTTTATATACGCAAACGCAACTCAAGCGTGGCTTTCTTTGCTATAAATAATAATTTATCGTCGATTCGGACGTAGACCAATTTGACCGATTGCGTCAACCGGTTAAATCTGTATTGTTATTAATCTCGAGGCCCGTTGAAAGGAGTCTTTAAGAAATAGCCGTTCGAACGAATATAAATAAAACCCCCCCAAAGCAAAGACCAACGACGGTTTAACGAAAAAAAAGAAAAAAATCGGGTTGCTCGAAAAGTTGTGAAATACCGTGAATGTAATCTCTCGAACGAAGCTTTTGCGTCGATGTAATCGAGCATATATATATATTTTAAAGAAGTCACAACAAAAAAAAAAAAAAAAAAAATACACGTCTACGTGTACTCTTCGAGTATTTATACATCAGCTGGCTGCCGAGGTCTATTTTTGTGCGAAGACAGCGTTTTTAAAACCTTCATATTTTGGTCCCAAGTTACGGCAACGCGCACGTGTATTTGCGCCAAGTTACGGCTCCAGAGCTTAACAAATGGGTTCGAGAGTGTGTATTTTTATCCAAAAGGAAGGTATGAAGAAGAAACAAAAAGATAAAAATTTGTCTCCACCCCGTACAGCCCCGCAACAAGGAGCAAGAGCAGGAGGTGCTCGAGTGGATCGAGAAAGTACTGGGCGAAAAACTACCACCCGGTAATTACGAGGACATCCTTAAGGACGGGGTCGTTCTTTGCCAACTGATCAATAAATTAGCTCCCGGCTCCGTCAAGAAAATCCAATCCAAAGGAACCAACTTCCAGCTGATGGAGAACATCCAGAGGTGCGTTGTGGTGATGGCATGCAAAAAGCGCGTGTACTTATGCGTGCATGTTCCTGTTTCAGGTTCCAAGCGGCCATAAAAAAGTACGGCGTTCCGGAAGAGGAGATCTTCCAAACTGCCGATCTGTTCGAGAGGCGGAACATCCCGCAGGTCACCCTCTGCCTGTACTCTTTGGGCAGGATCGTAAGTGAAATATTGTATTCTATTTCGGCCAATCGTTGCGATGTAGTATGAATGTTTTCAACTTATCGACGGGATTGCAGACGCAGAAGCATCCGGAGTACACGGGACCGGCTTTGGGGCCCAAAATGTCCGAGGAAAACAAGAGAAGCTTCACGGAAGATCAGCTTCGGGCCAGCGAGGGACAGCTCAATTTACAAATGGGCTTCAACAAGGGGGCCAGCCAATCTGGCCACGGAGGCTTTGGAAACACGAGACACATGTGAATACTTCGTCTTTACTTCTAAGCGCCACGCGCCTGTACATTGTAATATTATTATTATTATTACCATTATATTATTCTAATTATTTTTATGTCGTACAATTAGGGACGCAGTTTTAAATATACATACAACAAACACTGCACATACCATAGACAACGTGCACGTAATATTCGTGTACATTTAACGCGATGCTACCTTATGTTAATAATTTTAACGTTGTATTTAACAAGCTCGAGCGCATACTAATAATAATGATATAACGTCGTTTACTATTGTCAATAAAAAAATTAGAGAAAAAAAATACCGCGTAACATTTGTAAACTCGAGTGTACTTAATTACATAGTCTTTCCCCAACTGCAGTATTTCATGACTGTTAAGTGAGCATCTCTTGGGGGAAGGAAATTTTCACATTTTCCCGCTATTTTATAATAGTGTACGCATGGTAACGATGGATAGACTATTTCATGGAAAGTAAATATACGAGAAGGCAGAAACAAAACACGCAAGTCAAGTGATGACTGAAAGACACTTGGACGACAACTGTACATAACATGCATACGTTTGGGACAACTCTTTTGGTTTCCGTTATAGGAGTATTACATACTGGTCTCGTGCCAAAAGTCAACGATTACGTTGCGCGTTTTAACTGTTCAGGTCATTAACATATGCGTTATGCGTGTGTTTTCATCTAATGATTTTAGTTAAAATTGTTTAAATACCGTGTATTAATTGGCTCAAATTTTACATCTGTCTTTATTGTATCCTGTTCAACATAATTGATTTACAAGAAAATTGTGTTCGATGATCGGTTCAACTCAAATAAAAGTAGTAAACATAAGGTATAGGACATTTTTAATAACGAAATATATAAATAATTACTTGATTCATTAATTTTACTTGACGTATAAATTTGCTTTGTATTAAAAAAAAATTTCGTAAGTATCGATTTAAAAAAAAAAAAATGCATCAGTTTATCGGTGAACTAATGAATACGGTATTACTTTAAATTTAAAAATAAAATTATTCAAGTCATCTGAAAGTTGTATCAGAAATGTGAGGATTGTTTACTGACGAAGTAACTCAAAATAAAAAAAAATATAAAGTTGTATCTTCATACAGCTCTTACGATTGTCTCTCACATTTTTACCAGAGCTACTACAATTTTTCTATAGATTTCTATAGGTTTCAAGCTTTTTCTAACGCCATTGAAATTGTAAGATGCAGAAAATTAATAATAAAAAATTCAACACCAAATTGTTGTATGTAATATGTCGAGAGCCTGCCAGACATCAAGGCAAATATCGTTGCCACGCCCAATAACTTTGACTTTTTTACTGTATGGTTTTTATTTTTGTTTTTATTTTTATTAATTTATAAAATTGTATATTAATGTTTTTCGTGAAATGGATTCAAAATTAGTATAATTAATTTCATTAATATGTAGTTAACTTTTTGACGACTAGAGGAATATTCACCTACAAGTTACATTTTTGTCTCAAAAATTTAATTTTGCCTATTTTTTGAATTAATTTAAATTTTCAGTTTTCTTAAAATGATTTTGTTTTCTATACTCCAAACTTTGATTTTTTTTTTATTGATTTAAATTCGGTCTAATAATATAGTATAATATAAAATTTTACTTTTAATTTTGGTCGTACAGTGAGTTGTTCAAAAATATTAGACCAGTGTTTATTATTTGTTCACGTAAACAATGACTGGTAAAATTAAAAAATGTTAATAACACGTAATTTGCTGTATGTTTCTACAACCTTTGAAACGCTATGTGTTGGTTGACTATTGTTTATAAAAAAAAAAAAAAAAAAAAAAAGAATATTTCGTATAAACTGTTTGACAGATGTAATGAATTGTTTCATGCCAAAATAGAATTGTATCTTGTGAAAATAAAAAAAACTTTTTCTTCTGCTTGCTGTACATCTTAATTTCTATTAGTATTATCCTAAATTCAACTGAAAAATTATTTGATATTATTATTAGATGATTAAAATTGGAGTAATCTATTTCATACGATTTTTAAGTTTTTTATTTCGTGTCATTAAAATTAGTGTTTGTATACTGTCATTTTAAATCTGCGAAAATTTAGGCTTTACAAGGAGAAAAGAATTTTCAGAAATAGGATAACAATCAGGATATGATGAATATTAATTTTTAACTCACTCCCCAAATTTTAATCGCAAATGCAAATGTTAAGAAATAGCAGTAAGTAACAGTGAAAAAAAATTTACTTACTAATTAACAAGAAATTAAAAAAGGAGTAATCCAAAAGATACTTGAGCTGATCACCACCGAAAGCACCTTGAATTTTGCAAGATGCGCATTTTTAGAAAACAAATCGAAACCCATGAAAAATATTAATATCAGATCGTACGCGTGATAAAAATAAAATCGGCTCAATTTCGATTAAATAGATATAGGGTAGCTCCGCCTTGAAAGTCCGCTATCGGCTTTATAAATAAAATTTCAACAAATAATGAATCGTCGATTTCGCGGACGGAGTCAAGCGAACCGGCAAAAATAGCAATGAAAAAGCCTGCCTGTGCAACTCCAAGGTTTGTTTACACGCAACGACATGGAGCTCATCAACAAAGCCGCGCTCCCCGAAATTCCCGCGGCGTCTCTGACACACTTTTCTCCCGTGAGTCGATTAACGCCCTTGGCCAAAACCTCCGTCTGCCCACGAGAGGGGACGCGGCGAGTTATTTACGGATCATCCTTTCCAATGTGCAGCTGATCTCCTCGAACGCTGGATCGCTACACTGTTATTGTTGTTGTTGTTTGATTTTTTTGTTGTTTTTGTTATTAGTATCGTTGTTGAAAAACCCAAATTGGCCTATACCATGCCTCCGATAATATTGTTTTCTTGGCGTGTATTTTTACACTCATCCATGAGTAAACCAATTTTTATAAATACACCCCAAGTAATCGACCAACGTTGTGTACGCTTCAATGTTATTTTTTTTTGAATTTATCGAGTATACTATACTTACATGAAATGTATTTACGCAAGGACTATCTTGCAGTGCATCGTGGTTGATTTATTTCAAAATATCACGAGGTGTTGATTTTTCGGTAAAACTAACACTGCTTTCGCGCTGAAGGCAAGCGTCACGCGCCAAAACAACTATTTTTCAACTGTACATCTATACACAAGGAACGTTAGTGACAAAATTCTATTTAAAGTAAAACCATGTTTACCCGATGAGTACATACGTATATATAATACGTGTTCGCGGTTGCCATAGGTGACTTTCAAAATGAAGTGAGTTAGCGGTGATTCAGGGGCGCCCGAGAAGGTGTCAAGGTTATTTTCGATTCTATTAGGGGAACGCGGCGAAATTTATCTCAGGGGTAATTTCGGAAGACGCGTAGATTCGGACTACGGCGCGTGCGAAGCGCCTCAGATCCCCTTGGAAATATTACCAAGACGGATGCGAACAGAAAAAATAGTCGTCGTTGCTAGATCGGTATTTCGACGCGAGGCTGGAAAAAAAAACATCGCTGCCGGGAGGAATTGTTTTTAAAATTAGAACATCGTTACGAGGATTAAGAATACGCGCTCGTGTCACTCTATTACGAGGGAAAAAATGCTTTTACCAGACCGGCTTCGTCAAGCAATAAATTTTTCATCGATCGTTCCAAATGACGAGAAAAATGCTTTACACAGCGCCTGCAGCCAATAATACATAATATTACCGATCGAAGGCAAACCGTTACTCGGCGCTGTTTCATCGGTGTGTATGAGTCTGTCTATAATCGCGTGTCTGTCACTGTGTATACGATCGAATCAGAGGCGCGGAAGGAGAAGCGTCAGACTCACGTCGACAGGCGCAACTGGCTGTCACTCGCCCGTCAATCTCTGCGGATCGGTGACTACCTGTACGCGCGTTAAAGCACCGATCTACAAAATTTTATAGGATTTTGTCCATCGGATAATGCTGTGTCTTGTACATACAAGGACTATAATATATAGTAACAATTGCCTGTACGTATAATGCACTTTTGTATAAACACTGGCTTACCTGCCACAGCGGACGTCCCGGCATGTTGACTTGCTTACGAAGAAGAAAAGATCGGTAATGTACAATCAAGCCGTCGGCTATTTTTCCTCTGTTAGGTAAAGTGTACCCTTTCTGTAAAACGAAAGCACAAAAAGTGTGCGGCTCGCGGTCCGGTCCAGGGTATATATCGGTGACAGCAGGTGTGGGCGCGTGTTGGTGTGAAGAGCTTTGGGGGGTGCTGTTGGGCTATATGTGGAGCACACGTACAGCCTCATGCGCTCGCGCCCGAAGTCACTTGAATGTGGTTAAGCGCACGAGTGTGTGCGCGCGCGCATGTGTCATGTGTTAAGTATACACTTGCGCGAAAAAATCCCATTTGATCCCCCACCCTCGATCGTTTGCGTTTTTACTCCCTCCGTTCCTCCCGTGGAGTGCTGCTTAGATGTTGCTCGGGTAACTGGAGACAGCTGCCCGGCAAACTTTGACTTGGCTTTTTGTATGAGTGCGCTTGGACATTCCTTGGTATTTTGATGGGGTATACGTAAATACAACAGTGTTTGTGACTGGAGGAGCCACGGAACGTGCTTATTTTTTTTTGGTTGCCCATCATGCCCCTTTTCCTCGACGCGCTTGTCGTATGATCTTCAGTTAATAAGAAAGAACACCCGAAAACTGAATTTTACTCCGATACCGACCTTCAACTTTATTTCATAGGTTTTGTAAATACTTACTCAAATCCTTGACATAGTATTTTGTACAAACGTTGTCTTTGAATGAAAAATTTTAAAAACGTAGGTACCACAGCAGCGTTGGAATTAATAAAATTTTGCAACCGGCCAAATTGGCATCTGCTTACTTTTACGAGATAAGCTTTAAATATAGAGCAATGAATCACGAGCGAGAGATTTGTAAGGAACCGCTATTCTGGAATGTTTATGAGTGCGCACTGCTATCAAAATCATTTCGAATACTCTTAACCTCCGAATAAAACGAAAATACTGGTTGAACGAGAGTATTTTGGCGTGACACACATATTTTATGGAAATTAATTTTTGAAATTTTATTTACAAACGTTTATTTCTACTTTTACTTCTTAATAATACCACAATGAACCATGCGATGATATTTACAGTGGAAGAAATGGATCATCACTGATCTTGTGGTCATCTTAGTGTTACATGCATTCAAAGCGATAACGTCAGCAATTTCTTATAAAATAGGGATATATCAATAAGAAATTATAGATATATTGATCAAAATTATGAATATATTAATATGAATGCAGCAATCCTTGTTCACATAAATAATTTATGCAATAACTTTTATTTGGATTTGGAAAAATTTTAACCCTCTCAATTTCATAATATTTTCGTAAGCGATCCGCGTCGTCTATTAAATTTAAATTTTCTCGAATTTTCTACATCTTAAGGCTAGAATAATGTTTTTAATTTATAAAATCTTCTTTTTTACTATAATTTATTGTAACTGTTGAAATCGTAGTACGAATACATTCTCATCTACTTTATATGTATGGTAGTTGAACCCTAGTATATTAATAATTGTGGCAATAAATCACTATTAATTAATTAATTATTGTATTATCCATACACGTGTATAAATATAATCAAAGCAAATATCTCTCTAGAAACTTAATAATACATAAACTTGGTAAATACTCTGAAAAAATAATTCGTGTGCACTCAGCGGCAGCTGTGTAGTGTGTCGTTTGCATGCGGCGGCCAAGGGTAGCGTGGCCGAGCGGTCTAAGGCGCTGGTTTAAGGCACCAGTCTCTTCGGAGGCGTGGGTTCGAATCCCACCGCTGCCATTGCTTTTTGTTTCTTTTGTTGTTCAACCTACCCTCATTCCATTCAACATATTTTATTTTATTTACAAAAACACCAAACTTCAGTTTTTCGTTTTTTTTTTAGCAACAACTTTGACCAATTCTGTCATCAGTTTTCATCATTTCGTCACACGCATAATCGCTAAGAGTAATAAATGATTACATTTCTTAATCTTATAGTATCAAGTACAATATAACAGCGCACATGCATGCAAGTAAACAACAATCGGGAGGAGAACGGAATCAGACGTTGGCAAAGTCGAGCCCGCGACACTCCTCACTTGGCTCTATAGCTCGCACCTCGGCTCGCACCGTTCATTTTGTTTCCGATATAAGCCGCGGCTCTCGGCGATGTGGTTTGCGGTGAGCGTAATATTTCGTATCACAAGCATGATTCGAAAAGCCGCGATATTTGCCCCGTGCCTCGTGGTGGCTGATATGAGTACATATAATATGTAAGAAGAGCGCGGGAGCAGAACTGCTCGCTGCAGTGACGGCTACGCCTTCGAGGTCCAATGGGTTGCGTCGGTACGCGGCTCCGTGGTTCACACCTAACAAGCCTCCATGATCACGCAGGAGGTGGCTCGTAATACCACTCAATGGCTGCTGCGGCTGTCTTTCTATACTTGCCCGCGCTTTCCTTTTACCTATATGTATATATTCATTAACCTATATAATATATAATGCTTTTGATTACTGTAATGTCATTTATTAGTGTACCTATACACTCGTTGAATAAATTGTCTGCAAGTACAATCCACTTTGCGTTTTAAGTGTGCCGTTGCTTCAAAACAGTGGCCTCGGCAAGCAAAAATCGTTGCGGTAAAAAGATACTTCTATACTTATTCGATGGAAAAATAGTTTACCGGGTGGATAAATTTTTAAAAGTTCCCAAGTTAATTTAAAACTTTTGACGAGTTTGACATCGATGTTGCAAACATTTCATCCGTGTAATCCATTAAAACACGCCGATGAAATGACGCGGAAACTATAGCTGCGTGTGTTCGATACGTGCAGGGCGCGGTGCATCCTTTTGCAATTGTACAGGAGGGTCGTCGCAAAACACCTGTTAGGTGGACAAAATTTGCCATGCTCACGGGTAAACGGACAAGTGTTAACGACGAAGAAAACAGACGATATGTACGCAGGTAATGGATGTTGGCTTACAATGTGGATACGATGTGCGTCCCGATCGGAGATCCGAGTCCGAGCTCCTGAGTACGAATGGGATCCTGTTGCGGATGTTGTCGACGGGGGCTCGCCGTGCCCGGCCCACCTTTGGGTTTTGACGGAAGATTATTCAACGCGAGCCGCGTACCACCCGAAATCCCACACTCTACTTACTTGCAAGATGGTTTGTTAAATAACCCACTGGTAAGTACAGGTACACCTTGATGGTCGGGCTACATGAGACCAATACTTGTGTACGTACAACCTCGTGTATACGTTGTTTTCAAGATGGGAAGGGAACAAGCATCATCAGCGGATGTACAAGTAGGTAGGGTATGTGGGAAACTGATGTGGCGCGAGAGCGTGGGCATACATAACGACGCGACGTATAGGGTATCGGAAGATGATCTTGTGTATACAGCGGTGGGAAGAAAGAAGGAGAGAAAGAGCGAACGGGAAAAACTGGCTCCCGCGCGGTGTGCTGCCCTGATAGAAGTTTCATTCGAAAGATGCCACCCCGAGCCACGCCCCTGCGTAGGTACACGTAATATTATGTATGGTACTATACGCAATACTATTCCATATATGTATACGTAAAAAAAATGAAATCGATGTTTAACATGTCGAATGGCATTATGTTAACCCAACGCGCGGTGATTGAACACTTTTACGTGTAATAGGTGCATACTTTGCGTGTACTCACCTTAAACTTTGATCGTTTCGCGCGTCCGGAGAGATCGCGTTAGTTTTTCGTCCTGAAAAAACAATTGATTGATCTTGTGTGTAAATATAATAATTCCTAGGATTACTTTTCTTAATGGACTTCTTATTGTCAAATTATGTACTTTTTTTGCAATGATAATCTGTGGGTAGACAAGTAAGAAGTGTATAACGTATACCTACGAATAGATAAGTATAGTTAGGCATAAACTTGGAGTTTTTCTTACTTTGTGCTGAAGTATGTCATGTCACATAATGGCTCGGTCGGGAGCGTGCCTGCGTATAATCCTTGATGGCCGGGGTTCAAATCCCACTGTAGACAAAAATTTTTTAATATAACAGAGGTTTTTACTGGATGAGAAGTGAGCTTCAGTAAACCTAAACGTAACTGATTTATACTTATCCCACCGTTTCATCGACCCATATCCAACTAACTTAAGGTAGAATACAATATGTGGTGCCAAAAGAGCCCATGCCTTTTTGAGCCCCTTAGGGGACAATAAACTTAAACCTACCGATTTATCTACTTACCCCTTCGTTTCATTTACTGATAATTAGCCAACTTATGGCTAAAACACAGTATATGGGGAGTCAAAATAGTCATGTCTGAGGGGGCGATGATGAGTTACAAAAAAAAAATGTACAACACAATACTTAAGGAGAAGGTCAACGTAAAATTTTAGATTTTAGCATGAATAGACGGATTGATAATTAAATTACTTAATACAGACAAAATTGCTTGCAACAAATTGCTTGCAACCATGGCAGTAAGTCTACTACCCCTACATTGCAACTCCTACACGAGTCCAAGGTGTATGTAGGCATCGGTTAGTATAGTAAATATTATACTTACTTATGTGCGAAGAAGCGAGACTCGATGTGAAACGAAAATTATCGCGCTTACATTCCGCATACGTACTCTGTCGTAGCAGGAGAGCATGAGAGAGCGCTTGATTCTCCTCTGGACGCACGAATTCGCGCGGGTTGCCTCGCTCGGCCCCTCCTTGTAACAGAGCCGCAGAACAGTGCAGAGCAAGGGTCTGATCGCGATAGCGACTTGACGTCAAAATACGTGAAGGCGAACCAACCTACTATTGTTCAGGTTCCTTGGCCAACCGTCTCCTCCCGCTCCCTTTGCCCTAGTAAGTGCGTTTGTCAGTCGTACCATGACGTCAAATTTTTTTTTCCTTACACCTCCGCCGAAAGTTCGTTCCATCAGTACCGATTTTGAGCTAGAAAAAGCCTCATATCAGTCCTGCCATATGTGCGCAGAACGAAGTGCGCAGATATATATAGTTATATATTCAGCACCGAGAAGCAGCAGTAGTTATACAATACATATATATATATACGGCTAACGGAGTTATAACCTTTATAGTTTATACAACACATATATTTTGCACAATTTAGATGTATATATAAATGAATTAATTTCATATGAACAGAGTACACAACACAAAATTAAATTGCCAGCACGACCAACCTGCACAAATCCCCGGCCCAATCTGTTTCTATATAATAGACTACAGTCTCGGCGGGCGTAGAGCTCCCTCCTCCC